ACATTTTTGCTTTTGAGCAAAAAAACAACAAAGTGGCAAATATTGAAAAAAAATAAATATTGAAAAAATCGTAAAAAATCAGTAAAAATAAAAATATATATATATATATATATATTTTTTTTTTTTGAAGAAATATCTATTTAAACTATTTTGGACAATTTTTACAAGGATCAATAGGTAAACGTTTACCAAAATGTCCAACTTTGCCCCTTCTAACCTTGATTAAAATTTCGTACAAGTCGGTTTTTTTTAATTGGGTTACTTGACACGAAAATGCCTATATATATATAGACTAGCATACATAAAGGGAGACTAGCATACATAAAAGAAATTAAATTAATAATTCAGATTATAACAAGTAAGAGTGCTATATTCGACTATGGCTAATCTTACATACCCAATATCAAACCTAACCCCTATAGACATTGAAGTAGAGCTTAAGTCATTTACGGGCAGATCACATCGGATTAATAAAATATTAACTTTTAAAAACAAAATATTTTTGTCCAACATTTAAACCATGAACATATATAGGTGGTAGGGTCAATTATAAAATTCGGTAGATAGATTTTGGTTTGTAAGAAGCTTAGTTCTGTATATCGAATTTCATAGCTATATTTGCATTTTTAAGCCAGTAGTGAGCGTCATTTTGTGAGTGGGACCTTATATGGGGGTAGGGTAAATTATGGACCGATCCTCATAATATTCGGTAGATAAATTTTTGCTAGTAAGAAACTTACTTATATCGAATTTCAGCTCTAGACTCGTATTTTTGGAGGGTACTATTATGGACCGGTGCTCATAAAATTTGGTAGAGAGAATTGGGCTTATATAAAACTCGCATTTTTAAAACAGTTTTAACTGTTAAAACTGTTTTTTAGACCGATATTGCCCATTTTCAATGCCAAACGAACCTTGCCTATAAGAAATATTTTTGTAGAAAATTTCATTTCTCTAGCTTTTTCCGTTCGGACTCTATCGGGCTTTCAACATACAGACAGACAGACAGACAGACAGACAGACAGACGGACATACATGGCTAGATCGTCTTAGAATGTCATAAGGACCCAGAATATATATATATACTTTTATGGGTCTATGATCATTTTTTTGCCATGAGTAAAAGAGATCACAAAGAATCGTCTTGGCTCTTAATTACATACTTAGATATAACTTTTATTTAAGATCTATTGTGATCATACGCTTGTTCATCTATCTGAGCATATTGCATTATAGAGTCTACAATAGAGGAGTTTGGCCTTAGTTCTAAATGTGTTATTTTTACCTTCTGCTTCAGTTTGTCATCATAACAAAAGTTATAGTATATAAGTTTTCATTTCAATTTTGTTTTATTATATTAATTAAATCAAAATTAAAAAGTAAAAAAAAAAAAATATTTATAAATAAAAATAAAAAATTTCTTGGTTTTAAAAAGACCGCTTTATTAGACCTGCCATAATGTATTCCAAAAACTTAACCTACAAAAAAATAAAAAATATATATAAAAATCTTATAACAATAAGAAATATTATAAAAACCTACCATTCATTACTTGTACGAATTCTGCAAATACAAAAAAAAAATAATTAATTACTCCTTAAAAATAGTTCACTTCTTAACTCACCATCAAAATCAACAGTACCCGAACCATCAGCATCAATTTCCTCAATAATCATATCCAATTCCTTGGCCGACAATTTGTCATCCAATTCTTTGAGAATACCACGCAATGTGGCAACTGTGATATAGCCCTTACCCTCTCTGTCGTAAATACGGAAGGCTTCCTTTAATTCACCCATCAAAACTGGACCATCCTCATCAACCTCGACGAAACGTGAAGCTAATTTACAGAATTGTTTAAAGTCCAATTTACCCGAATTACCCTTATCGACTTCTTTGATTAGTGCCTTAACGGCTTTGTCATCGAGTTTTTGACCAAGAATTTCTAAAATCTGTATAACATCGGCATGTTCAATGACACCCTTATCCTCAGGATCGAAGGCTTTGAAGGCATTACGCATGACTATTTAGAGTAAAATGTGGAAAAAGTTTAATTGATTGAAAAAAATGGAAATTATTTCTTTAATAATATTACTTCTGAGTTGTTCTTTGTCGTATTCTGGTTCAGCCTGTAAAAAGAAATATAATTTTTTTTTATTAAAAAGTTAAAGTCGGCCTAAGTAAAGCTATACAAATTAGCATGAGTTTGAAATAAAAAGAAACTTCTTATATAATTTAATATTTGGAAGATATAGACAGAAACACAGGCAGATAATTTTGAAAATTCGAAGTATTTCTAGGTGTTTTTCAAATCTTTATAGTACTATAATATACATCTTTTATTTTCAGATTTCATGGGTTTCTCCTATCATAAATTGAAGCAAGTAAGTATTATTTAGTTGCGAAATCTTAATACCCTAATATTTTTTTACATCTGAAAGTCTCAACCGATCCGGGAGCCTCAGTATATTTTCATAGAAGGAATAAAGAGGGGGCAAAACTGTTCATATTACACAACTTTTCTAAGTAATTTTTGAAAAAAAAAAAACCGATCTGGGAAGCGTGAGTATCTTTTAATCGGAACGCAAAGGGATAAAATATGTTCAAGTTAAAGTAATAAACTATTCAAATTAGTACTTCCTGAACCATAACATGTTCTTAGTTGTATATAGTTAAAGTACCTTTCAGAAAATCGCCTTCTAAGGGCGAAAATTATTTCTATAATTAAAATTTGGAATAAAAACATTTTCAAGAATCAAAAGCTTATAAATATTATTTGTTTAGTACCTTTTCATAATGTTGTTCTAAACTATGTATATCTTTCAAAAGTACTTTTTCGTTAGTTAGTCCAGTAAAGCTAAAAGACGTGGAAACTTTTCTATCAAAGTGACAACGCTGTGTTGTCAAACAGATTTTCTATAGAAATCACAACGGTGCATTGCCGAAGTGACATAAGCAAAATGACAACAATGCTTTGTCAAAATAACAACGGTGGTTGTCAAAATTATAACTGGGAATTATTTAAATTTTATACACATCCGATGTCTAATTGTTAACAAACGTAATAAGCTCACTTTTGACAACGGATTGTATCAATTTCGGTACTTTTCCACCGTGGTTTTCCACAGAAAAGACTAAAAACTTTCTATAGAGAAGTTTAAAGATTCTCTATTGAATCTTTAATGTATAAAGACTTTCTGAAGAAACTTTCCTATGGAAAAGTATAAAAAAGAAACTCTTCTATAGACATGTCTAGACACTAGAGAATATTTTCTATAGAAAAGTCTGGAGTTTTGCTTAAGAAACGTCTAGAAAATTTATAAAGAAAATGTTAAAAACTTTTTATAGAAAAGTGTAGAGACCTTCTATAGAACTTTCTCGAAAGAATTTCTATAGAAAAGTCTATAGACTTTGTATAGAAAATTTCTTTCTAAATAAACTTTTCTATAGAAAAGTTTATAGACTTTCTATAGAAAAGTCTATGGTCTTTCTATATAAACTTTTCTATAGAAAAGTCTATAGGCTTGCTATAGAAACTTATCTTTAGAAAAGTCTATAGACATTCTATAGAAACTCATCTATTTGCTATAGACTTTCTATAGAGACTCTTCTATAGAAAAGTCTATAGACTTTCTATAGAAACTCTTCTATAGAAAAGTCCATAGACTTTCTATAGAAACTCTTCTATAGAAAAGTCTATTGGCTTTCTATAAAATTTTTTTATAGAAAAGTCTATAGAAACTTTTCTATAGAAAAGACTATAGACTTTCGATAGAAACTTTTCTATAGAAAAGTTTATAGAAAAGTCTATAGAAACTTTTCTATAGAAAAGACTATAGACTTTCGATAGAAACTTTTCTATAGAAAAGTTTATAGAAAAGTCTATAGAAACTTTTCTATAGAAAAGACTATAGACTTTCGATGGAAACTTTTCTATAGAAAAGTTTATAGAAACTTTTCTTTAGAAAAGTCTATAGACTTTTTATAGAAACTTTTCTATAGAAATGTCTATAGACTTTCTATAGAAACTTTTTATAGAAATGTCTATAGACTTTCTGTTGAAACTTTTCTATAGAAAAGTCTACAGAAACTTTTCTTTAGAAAAGTCTATAGACTTTTTATAGAAACCTTTCTATAGAAAGTCTATAGACTTTCTATAGAAACTTTTCTCTAGTAAAGTCTACTTTACTAGAGAAGTCCATAGACCTTCTATAGAAACCCTTCTATAGAAAAGTCTATAGACTTTATATATAAACTTTTCTATAGAAAAGTCTATGGACTCTCTATAGGAACTTTTCCATAGAAAAGTTTATAGACTTTATATAGAAACTTTTTTATAGAAAAGTCTATATACTTTCTATAGAAACTTTTCTATAGAAAAGTCTATATACTTTCTAAAGAAACTTTTAAATAGAAAAGTCTATAGACTTTCTATAGAAACTTTTCTATAGAAAAGTATATACACTTTCAATAGAAACTTTTCTATAAGAATGTCTATAGAATTTCTATAGAAACTTTTCTATAGAAGAGTGTGTATATTTTCTATAGAAACTTTTCTATAGAAAAGTCTATAGACTTTATAAACTTTCTATAAAATTTTTTCTATAGAAATGTCTATAGACTAGTACCTATAGAGGGGCTATAGACTTTTCTATCGAAAAGATTCAACAGAAAGTCTATAGACATTTCTATAAAAAGTTTCTATAGAAAGTCTATAGACTTTTCTAAAGAAATGTTTCTATAAACTTTTCTATAGAAAAGTTTCTATCGAAAGTCTATAGTCTTTTCTATAGACTTTTCTATAAAAAAGTTTGTATAGAAAGCCAATAGACTTTTCTATAGAAGAGTTTCTATAGAAAGTCTATAGACTTTTCTAAAGAAATGTTTCTATAAACTTTTCTATAGAAAAGTTTCTATCGAAAGTCTATAGTCTTTTCTATAGACTTTTCTATAAAAAAGTTTGTATAGAAAGCCAACAGACTTTTCTATAGAAAAGTTTGTATAGAAAGACCATAGACTTTTCTATAGAAAGTCTATAAACTTTTTTATAGAAAAGTTTATTTAGAAGAAATTTTTTATATAAAAATGTCTATAGAAAAAATTTTCTATGGAAAAGTCTATAGACTTTTCTGTATAAAATTTTCTATAGAAAAGTCTATAGACATTCTATAGAAACTTTTCTATAGAAAAGTCTATAGACATTCTATAGAAACTTTTCTATAGGAAAGTCTATAGACATTCTATAGAAACTTTTCTATAGAAAAGTCTATAGACTTCTATAGAAAAGTCTATAGACTTTCTATAGAATCTTTTCTATAGAAAAGTCTATAGACTTTCTATAGAAACTTTTCTATAGAAAAGTCTATAGACTTTCTATAGAAACTTTTCTATAGAAAAGTCTATAGACTTTCTATAGAAACTTTTCTATAGAAAAGTCTATAGACTTTCTATAGAAACTTTTCTATAGAAAGTCTATAGGAAAGTCTAGTGACTTTCTATAAAAAAGTTTATAGCTTTTCTATAGAAAAGTCTCTAGCCTCTCTATAGGTACTTTTCTATGGAAGTCTACTGACTTTCTATATAAACTTTTCTACGGAAAAGTTTATAAACTTTCTATAGAAAGGCGGTGTGTGGAATCATCTTACTGGAATCTTCCTATAGAAATGTTTTTCTTTCCTGACAAAATATTTTTAAAGAAAACTATTTTTTGTCCTTTGATTTTTTATATTAGTTTTTTTTATTTTTTTTTTTAATAAATACAGTGATTTTTTACAATGGATTATAAATAGTTTATAAACGAAAAATAAATGACAAATTAACACTTTTTTTTTAACAAATAAAATCAAATATATTTTAAGGAATTTGAGAAAAAATAAATAGAACTTAAATAAAATGTCTTAGTTGTCTGCAAACCACTTTAGAAAAAAATTAAGGTGGTGTAAAAAGACTAATAGAAAAACTTAACCTGTAAATAAGAGAATTATTGAAATTAAGAGTAAAAATAGTTAAAACAAAGTCTTCATTAAGGGCAGTGATTAGATTAGTTGAATTAATTAAAATAAAAAAAATCAACAATTAATTATTAAATGCAGGGGAATTTGGAAGCAGAAATGGTTTTGTTGGAATAGAACAATTCTTCTGACAATGGCAAAAATTTAGATGGACTGACCACTAGTTACTTGTGGCTGATCATTAAACGACAACGATGTCTATGTTTAAAGGGATTTTGAACGATTTCACGATATAAAGTTAAAATGGGTACCCATTTGGGAAAACGTGGACGATAGGGTGGACGACAATAGACTACAGGAGCTGTGGATAATGAGACGTCTTTATACGAAGATGGTCTATATAAATGAGGCTGCTGTTGAACATGCCAGACATGTTGTAGACAACGATCATGGAAATTACTCAAAGGACGTAACATTTGTTGAAATAAACGTTGAAATTGCATTTCAATGCGACGATGCAAAAGCTGACGATGCTGGGGACAAGGACAACGGCTGGGGGTAACATTAATTAGCAGAGGATCAAAGGTAAAACGTTGATGAACAAACAAGTCTTGGAAATTTTTACCTGTCATCACTTGCATGAATTCTAAAATCAATGTAAGAAAAGTTTAATCGTTAAGAGATACAATATAATATAGTTCGATATAGCTCACCATCAAAATCCACCGTACCCGAACCATCCGAATCGATTTCCTCAATAATCATATCCAAATCTTGATTAGACAATTTATCATCCAATTCATGTAAAATACCGCGCAATGTGGCAACAGTTATATAACCTTTACCCTCTTTGTCATAGATACGAAAAGCTTCTCTCAATTCACCCATCAATACTGGTCCATCCTCTTCAACCTCGACGAAACGTGAGGCCAACTTACAGAATTGCTTAAAGTCCAATTTACCCGTATTGCCCTTATCGACTTCTTTGATTAAAGCTTTTACCGCCTTTTCATCGAGTTTTTGTCCTAGTATTTCTACAATTTGTATAACATCGCCATGTTCGATGAAACCTTTGTCCTCATGATCGAAAGCTTTAAAGGCATTACGCATGACTAATGATTGAAAGGAATTTTCAAAAAGATTTAGTTTTTAGCGAATTTTTCCGTTTGTCGGTTAAGAGATCTAAAAAGGAGCAGAAAGTAGCTTGAACTAAGAACTTTGCTATGCATAAATTTATCTGAGAGCGAACTTTTATATAGAAAGTCTGAAATTGTGTCTCAGAAAGACATTTTTTATAGAAAAATTATCGCAGATGTATCCTCTTTTATAGAGTAAGTATCTCAGCTAGACTCTCTTCTATATGAAAAGTGTTTGTGTTTGGGACACTTGTGTCTTCTAGGGAAAACATTCTCTCGAAAAGACAGATTTCCATGCTAAAGATTGCTGCATATTTGCATTTCTTGATCTATTCTCTAGCTCTTTTTAAATCTCTTTTTTATCATTATCATTGCTTCCAACTTACTTCTCAGTTGTTCTTTATCGTATTCCTGTTCACTCTGGCAAATGATATGGAAGTAAAAGAAAATAATTTCAAAACGATTATTACTCTAGATATCGAATTGTGGATCATATAGGTAAAGAGTGCATATAGTATTATCAAAGTGCCTTTTGGGAAATTCTACAGGTGATTAGTGCAGCCGGGTAAGAGCTTTAATATTTATAGTGATTAGTGCCAGCCAAGGTGCTAATATTAGGTTAAATAGTTGCAGATTCCTTATATAATATTAGATGCATTATTTGTTGGATTAAATGCTTCATCATTAATTATTAAAATTATTTGTATTATTCTTATTATTAAGGAGCTTATATGTTGCAGGTGGCATTTTAAGGGGTTTCTACAGGATTTTTTTTTCTATAGAAGTTCGGAACCAGGAACCAGTTTTTGTTATGTATGATATTAAGGTGCCCATACTTTTATATTAGTTATAGGTATATAATTGAGTTTCTTATGGTAAATTCTGCAAAAAAAATAACTAAAGTTTAGCATTAGTTGTTCAAATATTATGTTAAAACTGATGAATATCTTACATGTTTTAATTAATTGGTGAAAGGATTTAAATATTTAAAATAACACTGTTTTTTTAATTCACAAAAAATTTAAAACTTTTTAGTACATATTTAAGTAATGTAAAATTTACTAAAATCTTAAAGGAATGAAATTTGTTATAATTGTTTCATTTAAAGGCAAAATGTGATGAATCCGAATCTGGTCTCCATCACATCTGGGATTTGAGATATAGTGTCCTAAAGTTTGTTAAAACGAAATAACGTTTTTACGCTTTTTCAGATGTTACACCTCGAATTTTTCATCCTTTAAAGAAAGGGTTAGCTTTTACTTTTTGATAATTATGATCAGTATACTCGGGGAAATTATCATAAATAGTTTGAAGCTACCAAATTATCAAAATTTTCTTTGAAAGTCGGCCGAAGCGGTAACTATATTATGATATAATCTTTTAGTTTTTGAAGAAAAATGTTATCAGAACTTTAATTCAAACACTTGATGTAATAATATGCGCTCAAGATATCGAAGTTATTAATGTGAACACCTGCCGTGTTGGCCTTATTCCACGGTGGTACCTTTTCAACCACTGAGAGAGCTGACTAAATGACTCATCACAGCCGCTTGTTACATGCCGGTGGATATTTTTGTGCATGGTTTTCTCTGGTACTCGAGCTTTCATTAAAATTCTAAAAAAGAACTTAGTTTTCTTATGAAATAATCATTTACTATAGCTATAAACTCAAAATTTCGATCTAAATTGAGAAAAATTAAAAAAAAAAACATTGGGACACCGATGTCCTGTATACGTGAAAGAGTTAACTTCCGAGAATCAAAAGCATCACTTCCATTAACAACCACGCATATGGGATGGCCTCTGTTGAGTTGGCCTTAGCATCTATAGAGGTATTCGGTAGACCGAAACACGAATCCACCAAATAAACCGCGGACTATGTTCTTACTCACAGAGAACACACTGTGAATGGAAAATTCCATGGTATTACTTGTATAAGATACCTTTAATCCATCACCATTCAACCCCTACATTCCTTCTGCATCATATACACTTAACAACAACTCACAGTCACTCTACTGTAGGGTATCGGCAACAACACCGATTTTATACATCAGCCTAGTGGTAGCACCTCTTTTCCCCGGAATTGCAATAACGCCAAGTCTTTCATCGAGGTAGCATGTCCCCGGCGATAAATCTGCGCATATAATGATGTGATAATATTCCAACCAGCATTTTAGGAGGACCGTTTCAAACTAGGTATTTAATACGCCTTAATATTAAGCCTAGCCTCCCGAATACCCAGGTGATTACTATTTTAACATGTACTTGTGTTACAAAAGGGACCATCGCTTACAAAAGGGACGAGAGTACATTACATGGCGAAAGGCGAATTATAGCCAACCAGCTGGTTAGATGTTGTTGGAAAAGACTGTTTTTTTTTTTTTGAAGCTGGAAAGGTTTTATACAGAAGCCTTTCTGTATTTTCTGTAGAAGCCTTTCTGTATTTTTATTATCGGTAAAATGGTATTACTTAGATCTACAACTAGTTCTAGAATACATCATTATTGCTACTTTGGAACAGATTCTGTAGAAGCCTTATGAAAAGGGTTTTTGATAATTACGATTTGTGTACTCTGTCATATCATCATGAAGAGATTAAAATTTGAAATTAACTTTGAAAGTCAAGGCACATCGATGCTGGGGGCTATGTAGAAGAACCATAGGCATTAAATTGGACCTTAGTCCTACTATGACACATTGGCTATATAAAAGTGTAATTAGACCAATCCTAAGTTATGCTTCAATAATCTGGTGGACTTCTTTGGTAAAAAAGTGTAATATCAAACTACTACTGCTTGGGTATAAGTGGAAACAAGGATAGATATTCCACAGCCGAACGGCTCATAACTTTAGGCGAACTGGCCAAAGGCGATTATAGGACACGTCATTAATGTATACTGGACACATTGGAAGGCTATACACAATCATCGGAAGTGCCCGATCGCATACCAGAGACAAAATATGTCGGAAACTTTGAAACACTGATCCCAGATAGAATGTCTTGGTCAAGCGGAACTTTAGAGCAAATACCAGTAGGAATCCGTTGCTACACGGATGGCTCTAAATTGGGAGACAAAGTGGGCCTGGGTTTTTATATTGAAGACCCAATAACAGAAATATACCACCAATATATATGATGTCCGAGCAATAACGGAATGCGTAAATTGGATTAGAATAAATATGGCGCCCACAGGGCTTAACATATTTACCGGCTGCCAGAAGTCAATTAGGGCGATATCAGGTGATAAAGTTAAATCCAAAACCGTATTGGATAGTAAAAAAAGCTTTAACCGAATACACTCCCAGAGGTAAGGTTCAAATCGTATGCGTACTAGGTCACTCGTGAGTAGTCGGCAATGATAGAGCGAATGTAATAGCTTTAAAGGAAATGAAACTCTAGGTAGTTAACCTGACGAAGTCAAAACTATTTGACGCAACGAGGACAGAATTAAAATTATGGATGAGAGAAACCCATAAGGCCTCTTGGAATAATGAAATCGTGTGGGTAGAACCACAAAGATCCTATGGGGTGATCCTAACGAAAGCAGGACGAGAAGCCTCCTTAAAATGAACAAGTCTGAGGTTAGTATGATGTTACGTATTCTAAGTGAACACGGATTCAGACGAATGTAGAGCATGTAGAGAGGACAGTGGAACTCTGGAGCACTTTCTTTGCCATTGTCAGGCTTTCGCCGAAACTAGATCCAAATATCATGGAAGTGATATTATTCTGGATATAAAAACCCTCACGAACACTGATTGGAAAATGCTTAGGAATTACGTCTAGGAAACCGAGTTTCTGAACATCGGATATATAAGGTTTTTGTTTTAACCAACAAACATTTTCCATGAAAAGCAGCACACAACAGGCCCGATAGAGGCATAGGTATATTTCTTCGGATTTGATGTAAATACATCCTCCTCTCAACCTAACCTTACCTAATTTTGAAAGTCAGTCATTGAAATTTTGTTTTAAACTCAACAAGAGTTTGACAAATCATTCTGAAATCAAATTTGATCTCCCTTGTCGATCAGTATAATTCATTGGAAAACAGATAAATGATTTTTAAGAATCCATTACAATAACCAAACATCAAAGCCCAATATCAATGGTGCTATAGTAATACACTCACTATATGTATTTGGTGACTTTAAACGGATCCTTGATTTTTGTTTGAAATGGTTTATATAGCTTCTTAATTAGAAGCACTTGAAGAATTACTTACTACTGTCTAAACTGGTTCTAAGAACTTGTTTCGAAACTAGTGTAGTACTAAGTTATAACTAGTGCTTAAGAGTTGGTTATTTGAAAACTCTTTAATTGTATTTGATGATATCAAGTTTAAAACCCGCTTTGAGAAACTTTGTAAAGCTATTTTATTTCCAAATCGAAAGTGGTTATGTGTGAACGCATTATTCATTATGTGTGATTATGTGTGAACGCATTATTCAAGTAGATTTTCTTTTAGGTGGAATTAATTCTTTTTTAAATTTTCTTATTATAAAAAAACTTTGTGAATATTATTTCTTTAGTAAAAGTTTAGAAATTATTAAAAGTTATTTTGTTTTATATTTAAGGCATTATGCCGGCTTTTTTAAAAAATTTTAATTTAGCAAAAAACACACTTTTTTTTAAAAAAATTTTAGGTTAAGTTAAATTTTTACACACTTTTTTCACATTTTTCTTTATCTTATTATCTGCATAAAAATTCTAGAAATTCTTCGATTACTTAAGAGAATCATGAGCATATATGTATGTAAAATGAAATCCTACATTTAACCTCTAAATAAATTAGTGCGATTGATTAATGTGCTTAATAATCTTTCTTTTTTTTTAAACAATCAAGGCCATTTACAAAAATATTTTTCAATTTTTATATACTTTTTAAAAGCAACAATATTTTTGCCTATAGAATCAGGTGTTCAAAATTATATATATTTTTTTAAATAAAAATATTGAAATTAAATTTTAATAAAACTCATGCTAATTTAAGTTAAAATTGGTTTAAATTTTAAAGAAAACTTACCATTTTGTTAAAGAAAATAAATTAATCCAAAAGTTAAAGGGGAAAGAGAGTTTGAAGCTGATCCTTTAAAAAAGAATTTTTATAATAATTATAAAATATTTATTTATTTTTTTTAATAAATTTTTTTAACTTTATAAAATATTTATGTTTTAAGGGTTTTAATTTTTCTTTTAATTACTTTAAATTTAAAACTTTTTTTTTTGTAAAAAATAAAACTACGTCAAGAATGAATCAGTTTGGAACACGGAGCAATTTAACCGTTTATGTGTGTTTACGTTAGAGCACCACGATAATCACTCAAGTCTAGTGATTTGCATCAATTAAAAAATTACCTTTCGATCAGATCGAATTAGTTGGAATACTGTATACTGCTCTGTTCTGCTCGGTTCTGTAGTTGGCTAAAACATCTATTCAGTTGCTATAGAGGCTGCTAAAAAGAATCACAACAACGTTTGTGGCGCATTAAAGAAAATTACACCAACAACAACAACGAATACTTGCAAAAGTATGTAACAACAACAGCAACAACACCATATTATTGTTGCTGTTGTTGGTTTTGATGATCATTTGAATTTATTCAAAGTTTTATGTAAATCTCTTCTGATGTTGTTGTTGTTGTATTCGAATCAATTCAATTTTAAATTTTCAATTAGAGCGACATATTTGCTGTTTTTTTTCCTTAAATTTTATCGTGCTCGTTGTTGTTTTTTATTGAGAAACATTGATATAATTAGAAATGTAAGACAGAGAAAGAGTACAATAAATAGTTAGAAAAAACAACAACAAATAAACAACTAATGAATAAATAAAATCCCCCATAAAAGAAATAAATGAAGCCCCTACAAATGAAGAATGATGCTTAAATTTTGCAAAAAAAAAATACAAATCGAAAATACTTTTTAATCACATACAAATAATCACCAAAATAAAAACACAAACAATATATATAGAGAGAAAATTATTGATCAAAATAATTGGGTTTTTTCAATTAACAATTTAACAGTGGTGCTGGTGTTAGAAAATATTCATTGATCTATGGAATGTGAAAGGAATTTATTGCGAAATAATTGTCTCATCAGCTGTAATGAAGTGTTAGCGATATTTGGAATAGTGTGATATTGTTTAAAATTTTATTTTATGCTGAAGCACTACACATCAGTCAAGTCTTAAGCTAGGCAATAGTCCTTAGAATAGACCAGAGTATAATCATGATTGCAAACAAAAACTAAGACAACACTATTGTCCAGACGTTAGTCTAGAGTATACTCCTGACTCTATTCAAACCATAGAACAAACGATTCATTAGACTATGATCCAGACAATATTCCAGACTATTGACTAGACTGTATCCCAGACTACAGACCAAACCATAGTCCTGACTATATTCCAGACTATAGTGTAGACCGTAATCCAGTCTATAGCCTAGACTGTAGTCCGGGATATAGACTAGACTATTATCCAGAATATAGATTATGCTAAAGACTATATTCCAGACGATAATCCAGACTATAATCCAATCTATAGATCAGACTATAGTCCAAACTATAGACTATAGTCTGGACTATAATCCAGACTATAGACTGGACTATAGTCCAGACTATAGACTGGACTATAGTCCAGACTATAGACTACCCTATATTCCAGACTATAGACTAGATTATAGTCCAGACTATAGACTAGATTATAGTCCAGACTATAGACTAGATTATAGTTCAGACTATAGACTAGACTATGTTCCAGACTATAGACTAGACTATAGACTACACTATAGACTAGAATATTGACCAGAATATAGACTAGACTCTAGACTAGACTATAGATCAGACTATAGAGTATAGTCCAGACTTAAGAATATACTATAGTCAAGACTATAGAATATACAATGGTACAGACTTCAGAATATACAATAGTCCAGACTATAGTCCAGACTGTAGAATATACTATAGTCAAGACTATAGAGAATTCTAATCCAGACTATAGAATATACAATAGTCCAGACTATACTGTCGTCCAGACTATAGAATATACTACAGTCCAGACTATAAAGATTATACTATAGTCCAGACTATATATTATACTATAGTCCAGACTATATATTATACTATAGCCCAGACTATAGATTATACTATAGTCCAGACTGTATATTATACTATAGTCAAGACTATAGATTATACTATAGTCCAGACTATAGATTAAACTATAGTCCAGATTAGACTATAGTCCAGACTATAGCTAAGACCTTAGACTAGACTATAATCCGGACTATAGATTAGGCTATAGTCCTGACTATATACTGTAGTACAGACTATAGACTAGACAATAGTCCAGACTATATAATAGCCTACAGTCCATACTATAGAAGAATCTATAGTCCAGACTATTGACTAGACTATAGACCTGACTATAAACTACACTATAAATCTGACTATAGTCTAGACTGTTATCCTGACTATAGTCTAGACTATTGTCCAGACCATAGACTATAGCCCAGACTATAGAGTAGACAATAGACCAGACCATAAACCACAAAGAGACTATTGTCCAGACTATTGACTAGACTATAGACCTCGCTATAAACTGGACTATAAAGCTGACTATAGTCTAGACTATTATTCAAACCATAGACTATAGCCCAGACTATAGAGTAGACAATAGACCAGACCATAAATTAGTCAAGTCTATATAATATACTATAGTCCAGATTGTAGAATACTCTATAGTCCAGACTATAGTCCTGACTAAATACTAGACTATAGTCTCGACTATTGACTAGACTATAGTCCCGACTATTGACTAGACTATAGTCCAGACTATTGACTAGACTATAGTCCAGACTATAGACTAGACTATAGTCCGAACTATAGACTATACTATAGTCCGAACTATAGACTAGACTATAGTCAAGACTATAGACCAGACTATAGTCAAGACTATAGACCAGATTATAGTCAAGACTATAGCCCAGACTATAGACTAGACTATAGACCATACTATTAATTAGTCAGGACTATATAATATACTATAATGCTGACTATAGAATATACTATAGTCCGACTATAGGCTAGACTATAGTCCAGACTAAAGACAAGGCTATAGTCAAGACTACAGACTAGACTATAGTCAAGACTATATACTAGACTAAAGTCTAAACAATAGACAAGACTATAGTCTTAACAATATACTAGACTATAGTTCAGACGAAAGACTAGACTATAGTCCAGACTATAGACTATACTATAGTCAAGACATAGTCAAAACTATAGACTAGACTATAGTCAATACTATAGACTATAGACCAGACATATAGACCAGTCTACAGTGAGGACTATAGGCTAGACTATAGTCAAGACTATAGACCAGACTATAGTCAAGACTATATACTAAACTATAGTCAAGACTATAGACTAGACTATATTCAAGACTACAGACTAGACTATAGTCAAGACAACCGACTAGACTATAGTCAAGACTATTGACTAGACTATAATCAAGACTATAGACTAAACTATAGCCCAGACTATAGAATATACTATAGTCCAGACTATAGAATATACTATAGTGCAGACTATAGAATATACTGTAGTCCAGTCTATAGAATATACTATAGTCCAGTCTATAGAATATACTATAGTCCAGACTATATATTAGACTATAGTCCAGACTATAGATTAAACTATAGCCCAGACTATATATAGCCAAGACTTTAGATTAGACTATAATCCAGACTATATAATAGGCTATAGTCCTGACTATAGACTCTAGCCCAGACTATAAAGAAAACATTAGTCAGGACTATGGATAATACTATATAGAGAATATTATAATCCTATATAGAGTATAGGCCAAACTATAGATTGGGGTATAGGCTAGACTATAGATTACTATATGAGAGTTTAAGATATTTTTGGAAAAATCTAAAAAGGGAATTTTTGTGGTTGCAACTTAAATTCGACTATAGTTAAAAATGAACAGAAACGTGCCTTATTTTTTATATGTAAAATTTTATTAATTGTAAATCTCCAACGATTTGTAATGTCTTTCATTGTAATTTTAGTTTATTTTCCTTAAATATTTTGCGATACACAACTTTTGTTTATAGATGAATTAATTTAATTAATTATCATGTTTGTTTTGCCAATTGAGCAAATGTCGCATCAATACTTTTTGGCAAATTCTATTCTAGTTTTATTTATTTCAAATTTATTTCGATTCGTTTTCTTCTTTTCAATATTAATAGAAATCAAACAAACAATAATGAGCATTTTAATGGTAATCAATTTAAAGCGTTTGAAAAAGAATTTTATTTTGTCGGTATTATCAAACGTTAAAAATAACAAAATTTATATATTTTTAAAATAACTTAGGTTTGGTTCTTTTTTTTTTTTTTTTTTTTGTTAAATAGTTTTTTGTTTATTTTTTGCATTTGTTTAAATTGTTTTTTTAGTAAATTAATTAAATTGATCACGACAATTAAGTTTGAAAAACAAATAAAATAATTGGCTATTTGTTGATGATTCATTAGATGAGATTTTTTTGTTATTATTAATAAAAATGCGTTTAGTTGGAAAAATTATTTTTTATAAATGTCGTCATGTAAATTACATTTCGGTTTACATGATTTTTTTAAAAACCCAACCTTAATCTTTAAAATTAATTAAGTCGAATTAGTTTGAATTGCAAAAAAAGTTTATATTTTATGTTAATTTCATTTAATTCCAAACTTTGATATGATATTGGCAATTGTAAGCTTGGACCTTGACACCTTTATTACTATAACTGATCCACCGTTGAACAATGATTTAGAAACATTATTATAATTCGGTATCTCCGGAACTATTGGAGATATTGCAATGAAATTTCACATGTTTAGAGCTGAGTGAGGTGTTTTTTACTAGTTGATTGAGGTAAACGTGATCGGAATGGAGGCCATTTTTGTTAAAAAATCACCCAAAATCTATTTATGAACCGCATGAGTCTAAATTAAAAATATAACTACTCCTTGCGAAGATCTAGAAAAACCAATCACCAAAAGTGTTGATAGAGGATATATATAACTTTGTCATTCCGTGTGTAATACCCAGATATATTCATCTGAGATCCAACAAAGTATATATATCCATAGACCCTATGAAATTCTAGTCGATCTAGCTATGTCCCTCAGTCCGTCTGTCTGTCTGTATAAAACGTTCTCACGTTAACACGAAGCAACAAATATTAACGAAATTCACTCTATACATTTATTATTATCCTAGGCAGTTTGGTATTGAAAATGAGCAAAATCGGTTCACATCGGGAAAAGTTGTGAAACAAAATTTGAAAAAAAATTTCGAAAAAATTAAGCTTTTTTACATATTCTAATGTAATTTTCACAAAAACTGTGCAA